AATGGATACATTCAAATATGTTATTTTGTATAAAAAACTATCAAAAAGTATGAGTTTCAGTATTATTTTTCTAATCATTATTGATTTAACACAAAATTTTCAAAAAAACTGCTAGAAGCATCTTTTAGAAATATTGTATGTGAACAATATGTGGCAAAAATAGAATGTTAAATTTTAATGCTAGAGGAAAACTTTTTTTTAACTGTATATACTTTTATTGGTACATTTTAGATATACAATATAATGACATTCATCATTGGAAATTTGCACCTTTGCATACTCTCCTCGTTCTTATTTTTTCCCCCTTCCCCTGCCCTCCCTTCAACCCCTCCATCCCTCCCTATTTATCATGACTGTTTCCTTTTTTTTCATTTTTTCATATTAATTCATTCCCTTCTTTTCTTTCCCCTACCCCTCCCACGTCCCTTTCCCTTTTGCCCCTTTTCTTCCTATTTCACATTATCTATTGTACCTTTTAGTCCTTATTTACACTTTCAGTTTCTTACACCAGAGAAACTATTCAGTATTTACATGTGTGTCCTATTTATTTCACTTAAGAGTATCACCTCAATGTGCATCCATGTAGCTATAAATGTCTCTAATTTCTCGTTTTTTATGGCTGAGTAGTACTCCATTAAAAAAAACCATTTTCTTTATTCAGTCTCCAGTTGATGGGCATTTGGGCTATTTCCAAGTTTAAGCTATTACAAACTGTGCTGCTATGAACATGGGTGCACATATATCACTGTAGTATGATTCTTTTAATTCTTTTGGGAAGATACCCAGCAGGGGAATAGCTGGGTCAAATGGGACTTCCAGTCCTAGTTCTTTGAGGTATCTCCATACTGATTTCCACAGTGCTTGCACCAGTCTACACTCCCACCAGCAGTGGAGCAGGGTTCCTCTTTCCCCACAGCCCCACCAGCATTTGTTATTGGTTGATTTCATGGTAGCAGCCACTTTTTCTGGGGTGAGGTGGAACCTCAGCATTGTTTTCATTTGCATCTCTCAAATGACCAGTGACGTTGAACATTTTTTCATATGTTTATTTGCCATTTCTACTTCTTTGACTGAGAAATTAGTTAAATTCAGGTGCCCATTTTTGGATTGGGTCTTTAAACTTGGGAGGTCTGACTTTTTAAAGTTCTTTATATATTCTAGGTAGTAGACTTTTGTCTGAGTTACAGCAGGTGAAAATTTTTTTCCCACATTGTGGGTTGTCCCTTCACACTGCTGGTGGTTTCTCTTGCTGTGCAGAAGCTTTTCAGTAAGAAGAGATCCCACTTGTTGATTGTTTGTGCTAGTTCATGGGCAACTGAGGTTTTGTTGATAAAATCTTTTCCTACACCAATGTCTTCAAGAGTTCCACCTAACCTCTGCTCTAGCCAGTTCAACGTTTCTGTTTTAATATTTAGACCTTTAATCCATTTTGATTTTAGTTGAGTGCATGGTGAGAGATATAGGTTTAGTTTTAGCCTTTGCCAAGTTGAAACCCAATTTCTCCAGCACCATTTATTAAAGAAGCTATCTTACCTCCAGTGAGGGTGTTTGGCTCCTTTGTCAAAGATGAGATGGTTGAGCATGTCTGGAGTTCTTTCTGCATCTTCTAATCTGTTCCATTGGTCTTCAGGTCTCTTTGCCAGTACCATGCTGTTTTTATCACAGTAGCTTTGTAGTATAGTTTCAAGTTGGAGGTTGTGATACCCCCTGCCATGTCTCTGTTACCTAGAATTGCTTTTGCTATTCTGGGTCTCTTCTTGTTCCAAATGAATTTTTGGATTGTTTTCTCAAGGTCCATGAAGTATACTGATGGGCTTTCAGTTGGGATTGCATTGAATCCATATAGCAGTTTTGGAAGTATGGCCATTTTCACTATGTTGATCCTTCTTACCCAGGAGCAAGGGATGTCTTTCCATTTTCTGATATTGTCTTCAATCTCTTTTCAAAGTGATATAGTTTTCAGAGAAAAGGTCTTTGATTTGTGTTGTTAGGTTGATTCCTATGTATTTTAGTTTTTTGGATGCTATTGTGAAAGGAATTGTTTGCCCTATTTCTCTCTCAGTGAGTCTGTTGTTCATGTACAGAAAAGCTATTGATTTTTGTGTGTTGACCTTGTATCCAGCTCCTTTACTGAATTTGGTTAAGTCTAGAAGACTTTTGGTGGAGTTCTTGGGGTCTTCTATATAGAGTATCATGTCATCTGCAAATAATGACAGTTTGATTCCTTCATTTCCTATCTTTATTCCTTTCATTTCTTTCTCTTGTCTAATTGCTGTGGCTAATATTTCCAAAACTATATTGAACAGGAGAGGTGATAGTGGACATCCTTGTCTTGTTCCTGATTTTAGTGTGAAGGATTTTAGTTTTTGACCATTTAATATGACATTGGCTGTTGGTTTTTCATAGATGGCTTTTATCAGATTGAGGTAGAGACCGTCTATTCCAATTTTTTGTAGAGTTTTTATCATAAATGCATGTTGGATTTTGTCAAATGCTTTTTCTGCATCTATGGAGATAATCATATGGTTTTTGTCCTTGGCTCTATTGACATAGTGTATTACATTGATTGATTTGCGTATGTTGAACCATCCCTGCATCCCCGGGATGAATCCCACTTGGTCAGGGTGTATGATCTTCTTGATGATCTTCTGTATTCTGTTTGCCATTATCTTATTAAGGATTTTTGCATCTATGTTCATTAGTGAGATTGGCCTATAGTTCTCCTTTTCGGTTGGGTCTTTCTCTGCTTTGGGGATCAAGGTGATGCTTGCTTCCAGGAATGAATTTGGGAGTATTGCTTCCCTTTCAATTTCATTGAAGAGTTTAAACAGTAGTGGCAGCAGTTCCTCTCTAAATGTCTTGTAGAATTCAGCAGTGAAGCCATCAGGGCCTGGGCTTTTCTTAGTTGATAAGTTTTTAATTTCGTTTTCAATTTCATTGGTTGACATTGGGTTGTTTAGAATTTTTAGGTCTTCTTTGTTCAACTTTGGTAATTTATATGTGTCTAGGAATCTGTCCATTTCTTCTGTGTTTTCCATCTTATTGGTGTATAGGTTCTCGAAGTAGGTATTGATGATTAGAGGAAATCTCTAAAATCATAAAGATGTTATGCTTGATTTCTCATCATTTATTATCAGATGAAATAAGTTTAGAAGATAGTTTCAAAGTACCAATTTACCTAAATAGACAACTTTTTTCACTTGGATAACTCTAAACTTAATTTTTTTTGAGATGAGGTCTTGTTATGTTCCCCAGGCTGGCCTCAAACTTGATCATCACACCTCAACCTCTCAAGTCGTTGGGATTATTAATATAAAGTTCCCCCCTGCCATCAAACCCAGGGCCTTGCACATGCTAGGTAAGCACGCTACCACTGAGCCATATCCCAGGCCCAAGTACAAGCTTTAAGGTAAGATTTAAATCATACTAAGACACTAATACAATCAGATTTAATGTCCCAGGGCTGGGAAGCTTAACATGATTGAGGTCCTGGGTTTGATCCCCAGCACCACTAAAACAAAGACAAAACAAAACAAAACAAAACAAAACAGCTTTATCTCCTTGTGAATCAATGAATCTTGGTAATTTAAAAATAAAGAACATAGGGGCTAGGGATTTAGCTCAGTGGTTTCACTGCCTGCTGCGCAAGTGCAAGGACCTGAGTTTGATCCCTGGTATCAGAACAAAAAAACCAAACCAAACCAAACAAAACAAAAGAACATGTTTTCACAAACTTTCAATGTAAATGCATGCAAGTTGTCTTGACTGTTTATTGGTACACTTTATTTATTTATTTATTTATTTATTTATTTATTTATTTGGTACCGGGGATCGAACTTGGGTCCTTCTGCTTTCGAGGCAGGCAGTGGAACCACTGAGCTAAATCCCTGGCACTTGACTGTTCATTGTACTGGATCACTGAAGGGGTTAAAATTATACAAATATTTATGTATATAAGTAAAATTTACTTAGTGAAAGATTTTACAAAATACAAAGTCTCACCCATCATATTAACGAAACTAAAGACAGCAGATCATATTTTAAGACTGGAGGAAAGAATGACTTTGCTTAAGCGCAGAATGGGTTTCTCCAGTAGGGAGGCTGCTTGGGCATCCCCGATTTTCCTGGAGATGTGGGTAGAATGGCCCACCCACAGCAACACCGATGCATTCCTGGGTCAAGATGCCATGCAGTCTCTTGTTCATAGAGCAGATTCCTAAGAATTAGCAACCTTGCCCCCTAAACCTTGAAAGGTTCAGAGAACTAGAATTAGTTGGATTTCCTGTGGAAGTGAGATTAAACAGAATCTTTTCAACACAAGAGTTACTAAAATGTCTCAGTGTAACTGTGGGTGCTGCCAAAGAAAACACAACAGAGGTGCGGGTGCTAATGACTGGGCCTACTCAGTGTCGCTGCTTCAACAGCAAGTCTGGTCAAAGGCGCTTGCTCCACACATGGAAGGAGCCTGCACTGTTCCTTTAAGACTGCAAAGCAAATGAAGCACAGCAGATACCATCTTACTGTTCTCCAGGCAGAGTCTATCTATTAGCTTTCCCTGTGTATACAGAAATGGGATAGGTTTGGGTATGTGCTCATCTCAGGGAGGCTCTGGAAGCCTTTTCTTTAAACTAATTGTTTGGTATTCATTTCATCACCAGTCTTTTGTCCCTAACAGTATAGCACTCAGTCCGCACATTTGGTCAAAGAATGGATAGGGACTTTAGGGACTAAAGTCTAAATTAAAAAAGAAATCTTCTATTTGCCTTAGCAATTTTATTTTTGACTTCATCAGTTTTAAATTCTAACAGGAGATAATGCTAATGAATATAGTATATTGTCAGGAGCTAGGTCGGCTCTGTAACACATGCAGTCTCAGCCGTGGCATGAACCCACTGGAAGATGTAGTCTCCTGGGAGACACACAGATACGCCCACAGTGGACACAGACTTGGAAGTTAAATCATTTAAGTGAGGATAAATATTTGGTTCTCCAAGAGCTACCTTCACGTTGAATGTTATTTCCTCCATGACGTACACGCGCTCAGGAAATGCCTTTGCCACCTCCTCTACACTGTTGAAATATTGCACAGGCTCCTTTATATCGCGGTCTTGTTCCAGCAGCTTGAACTGCCCTAAAACACATGATAAAAGGAAGAGATGTGAGATGTTAACGCTGGACAGCTGTCACCGTGGTGACAGCATTTTTCTTTACACCAACCCCTTTGTCAAAGATTCCTGATCATCATTTAAAAACTACTATTGGCAGAAGGCTTTATGAAATAAAAATAGACATAAAATACACACAACATACATATGCAAGAATATATATACAAGTGTATATGTATTATATATTCTTTTTTTTTTTTTTTGGTATCGGGGATGGAACTCTGGTCCTTGCGCTTGCGCAACAGGCAGCAAAACCACTGAGCTAAATCCCCGGCCCTATATTATATATTCTAAAAAATCAGTTTAAAAATGAAAACAAAGATGCCTTTTCTCTTTGTTTACATTCACGGTTTATCATTAGGTCCCAAATCACACTGAGTGGATGCTTGTCATTAGATCTCAAAGTAAAAACTTACTATGGCTGTTCATTTTGCTTTTAACAGTGTTACCTGTCATTTACTTGTAATAATAACATCCACATGTATTACATTCTAAGGCCTGGTAGAACTAATTTTTTTTTTTTTTTTGTACCAGGGATAGAACTAGGGACCTTGCTCTTGTGAGGCAGGCAGAGGCACCACTGAGCTAAATCCTTGGCCCCTAATTTTTAGTTAGTATCTAAAATAGAATAAAATAAGGGCTAGAGATGTGGCTCTGTGGCCTAGTAAGGCCCTGGGTTTGATCTCTAGTACTGCAATCAACAGAATAAAATAAGATAGTGAGTCCCTGGCTTTTATAGGATTAAAATTCTTGGTTTCAACAGTACATGGTAAACGTTGAGGGCTCATGAGCTGCATGGGCTAAATTACAGAGGTACAAGTGTCACCCAAACGCAGGAGGTGGGCTGAAGAGCAAGCCTCCTTCCATGACTTGAGCCCAGCCAGCTGTAAAGCAGTTATGACTACATTGTTCCTTCTTTTCTTTTTATCGTGATATCCACAATTTGGGGGATTTGTGAAGAATTTTGAATATATTCTTAAAAACATCAAGGAACTGTTTGGTTGTTTGAGCAGTTTCAGTATGATACTGCTACTACATTCTAGAATTGTTTTCAGTTTCAAAATAATAGATCCTCTATAATCGAGTGAAGAGCACAGTGTTTTGTATTTATTTTCTGATATCTGTTTATGATATAATGCTAGAGAAACTTAAACTATCATGAGGCTGAACTCTCTGAAAGCTATCATGAGGCAGATCTCTCTGTTCATGTCTATGGGGCATCAAGGAGAAAGACGGAAACTTTCATTTATACTTTCAACACATTTTTTTTTTTACCGTCTCCAAGGTGGAAGCATTTTTGTAGATGCTGGAGATTCAACAATAAACAGAAAAGACAAAAATCTGTCTTCCTGAAGGTTACATTCTAGCAGAAGATAGATAATAAATACAATAAATGGGTAGAGTATAGTATAATACATTAGGTAGGAGGTGGTACTGAAAATAGGGTAGGGTGAGGGGAATGGAGCCCGCAGGGAGAACCCCAAGGGTACTGCTGAGAAGGTGACCTTGGATGTAGGTGAGTGGGTGTCCTGTTCGGCAGCTTGGGGTGGAGCTCTCTGAATTCTAGAGACAGGTAGGGTGAGAAGAAAGAAGAGAAAGAATGTCAATGTGGAGAAGAGGTGATTCCAATAAAGTCTGTAAAAGTGCAAGCTATAATTGCAGAGGCAACAGTCAGGAAGCTCCTAGAGAATTCAGGGATGAGATAGCTAAGGCCTGAAAATGGTAAGAAGGTGTTAGGAGTTTGGCCTGAGCAGCTGAAGAAATAAACTAACAGGAACTGAGATGACGCTGGCTTGGAGGGTTGACAGAGGACCAGGAGTCAAACCTAACAGTATAAGCCTGTAAGTCTATTGGGCACACAATGCAATGGAAGTGTCCTGAAAGCTCTCATTTACTTGGATATATAAATGTGAAGATCACGAGAGAGGCCTGGTTGGAAATAATAAACCCAGGTGTCATGAGAACATAGATATTGCTATGACATTTTAATGATAAAGAATGTGGTCTTGAGTGTCGACAGGGAAGAGGTCTGAGGTGTGAATCACAGGTCACTGAGAGGACTGGCCAGGGCAGTGAGAGGCAAACTGGAAGAGGTGCATCCTGGGAGACAGGTGATTCTAGTACTTCAAGGAATGAGTGTGATGCTGAAGGCTGCTGATGGGACAAAGATGAGGACTGAACATTGTAGGATTGAACTGGGGACTTTGGTAAGGGAAATGGAATGGCTATGTCAAACATCTGACTGAATTGGACTCAAGAGAGACCCAGAAGGGAGAAACTGGCTCAACAACAGACACCAAATGACGCTTGAGGAGTACTGTTGTAGAGGGAAGAGACATGGAGTGGTGGTTATAGAGAGGAAATGGACATGAAATTGGAAGTGCTGTTTTCTTAAATATGTAACAGGAGAAGGAAAAGCAGGCTTGCATGTTGATGGGAATGACCACGAGAGACGGTCAAGTTGATGACGGGAATTACTGGAGCCCCACCTCTGAGGAGGCAGAGGGGACACATCTGATACAGGAGTGGAAGGGCTGCCTCCAGACAGGAGACAGGCAGTTCATCTCCAGCTCCATAGGGCAGCAGTGGGACCTGGCGGAAGCTCCTTATTGCTTCAATTTTTCCAGTCAAAGTTGAGAAAGGCAGTGTTAGAAGATTAAGGAAGGAGATTATCCAAAATCCAGTGAGAATGCATAACATAATACGACTGTTGGGTAACATTTAAGTTCCCACTTAAAGCTCATGGTCATGATTTTAAAATGAAATCAGAAAGTATGCCTGTTCTTCTCCAGCCAAGGTGAGATGCTCAAGGGTGGCACAAAATAGCTAGAGATAGGGATTCTGCCAGCACTGTGAAATTGCCAACTAAGTATGGGAAGTGAGAGGGGTGACTACAGATCATGGATAGGAAGGAAGAGAGTGAAAAAAAGTCATGGGACCAATGGATTGTGGCTCTGATGTTTTTGATTTTGGAGGGAGTTAGCTCAAAAGCTGCAAAAGACAGTGACCTACTTAAAAGTCATTACCTAAAGGCTGTGGATAACCTCGAGAAATACTTTTCAGGGACAAATCTAACCAAAGAACAGATTAGATAAGCACTTGAAAGTATCTTCCAAAATGAAATGCAGTCCTTTAGCACTGCAACGGGATGCTCTAGGGCGCCAAAAGAAGTTGGTAGTGGGGTTACAATTCATAGGCTTATTTGGTCGGGCTCTCCAGAACCATCTGACAAAGATATTGGATATTTGCCAACACTTCCAATTATCTGTAATTATGATTTATATTTTCTAATTTGTTAGATGAATAAGAAAAGAAATTACATATCTGGAACCTGAACACAATTCAAGCTATCTGTCATCAAGCCAGGCATAATTTCAGGAAAAATGCAAACGATATCCTATTTTCAAGAGCATGAAACAGTTTACTTTAAATTTGTGATCAATATTTTTGAGAAATTTTTCTAAGATAAGGGGCATCTACATGTACACCAAACACTTATTAAGTGGTTGGCAATTTTAGCTAGTACGCTTAAATTCAATGTAAACATCATGAAATATTTTCTTTTTTTGCATTAAGCCTCTTGAGTCCAGTGTATATTTTATATTTCCGGACAAAGTAGAATGTTTCTGCTCATGAAATAAAGAGGCTTAGAACTCCTATTTCCTTTTTTGCCTTGCTTAATGGCTGATGTTTTCACGTGTGTGTGTGTTGCTGAAATTGAACCCAAGGCCTTGTGTGTGCTAGGCAAGTGCTCTACCCCTGAGCTACATACCCAGCTGTAGTATCTATCTTCTAGCTTCTCTCCCACCTTGGGTTCCTATTTTTGTTTTTATTTTTATTTTTGGTACTGGGGATTGGACTCAGAACCTTGCGCTTGCGAGGCAGATGATGGAAGCACTGAGCTAAATCCCCGGCCCATGGTTCCTATTTTTAAAGCACTCTAATTATTTTCCGATGGTGCTATGATCTCGTAGGACTAGAGGTCTCCGATGTATTTGGCATAAAGACCAAATGAATAATCGTTATCTGGTACAGCTATGGGCTCACCTGTGTTTGTTATCTCCTTGGAAAGAAGGACAAGGATCATACATGCATGGAAGGACTTATAGGAAGCTGTACTACAAAACACATATAAAAGGAAAAAAGAAGCAACAGCCAAACAAATGTTTCAGCTTTTAAAGTTTGAACATGTGTACATCAGAAAAACAGATTCTTTTCATTCCATAGTATTTTCAGTCTTGAAGATTTTAGTTTACATGTTTATTTGTGTATATGTATTAGCACATTTTAAACGTAACCAATTACTTACTTAACATTTTTTATACCCCCAAAATGTCTTCAAAGTCTGAACAGCAAAAACCTATCAAATGTCTTCTTAGGGAAGCTGGGTCATAGTACATAGGTGACTTCCTGTTGCAGAGGACAGTAAACTTGTTCTGTAAATATTTTAGGTTTTGTTGGGTAAATGGTCTCTGGTGATGGAGGTGTCGCAAGGGCAAAAGCAGCAATGGAAAACACGCAAATGAAGGAGAGAAGCCGGGTTCCAATCAAACCTTATTTACAAAAGCAGGCAGCAGATCAGATGTGGGCCACAGGCCTTTTGCTGACCTCTGTCCTGTTAGATGGAGTAGAAAGTAAGGATGAGGGAAGTGGGAAAACAAGATGAGAAGTGAAAACAGCCAGTCCTTTTATTCCACACTCATCACACCAAGGTCTCTTGTTTAGTACCTGAAACCACATCTTAAGGTGTTCATGTTTATCTTAGAATTGCAGTTTTCCCTTTAAACAGGTGTCTAAAATCCCCAAGTATAAGCTGTAGAAAATGACTTGTATTAAAATAATGCAAATAAGCAGCCAACATGAAGGCCCACATTTCTTCCTCTGTTCTTTACAAAACAAATTTCTACAAACTTTTACTTAGCCTGTATCCTTTTATAAATGAATGTGAAATTCTCTGATGAGTCAACTTTACATACTCTGGGAAAGATGCTGGGCTTTGGTATTACCACACTCTCGGTGACTGCTGTGGCCTGGAAACTGGAACTTGTCAAAGTCCAACCTTGGAGACTGGATGAGTTCAGAGCCAGTCTCCTGCCAAAAGTAAAATCAATTTACATAACACATATTCCCACAACCCCCGCATGGAGGAACTAATTTTTTAACAGACCATTTCATGAATAACAGAGTCTTTTGTGCCACCAAATAAAAACATTTAGAGATTGTGGAAACATCTGTTATGAGATGTTACTGTCAAACTCTGTTCTCGGAGAAGGAGGAAGTTGCATTGTCTTTCAACAACTTTGATGATTTCATAAAGTGTCTCCATTGTGAGGACTGGTCCATCTGCAGGGCCCAAAAACTCCTAAGAACCAATTCAACACCAACGACACGCTCACCACCTACACTTTAAATACATTTAAGGTAATATTTAGAAAGTAAAGATTGATGTTATTTCATAAGTTATTTCTAAAAATTCTATTTCCTAATGAATATGCTGACAAGAAATAAGCATCACCTAGAAAACATTCATTTTTTCATATGTCCCAAGACAGTTATAGTGATTTCCCTCAAAATGGATAGCACAGTAAGCAGAGCCAAAAAACGCCCCAAATCCTCCTGTTAGCATCTAAAATTCCAGTGGTTGTACAGTGCTGTAGGGTTATATTAAAACACATTCTCCTTTACTTGGAAGGAAAGGTCACTTGTCAGAAATGAAAAAATGGAAATAAATTTTGCTAATTATGAGGAGAGTACAACAATGCTGAGATGCAGAGAAATAGCTGAAAGAATTAGAGGTGGTGGAGACCAGGTCTGTCAAGCTTCCTACTGGCTGGGAAGTTATGGGCAATGGTCAGTGGGAATTCATTCTCTGTCGCCGGTGGTGTGGATGGGGCTCACATGATTTGTGCTCCGCTGGTCCCCATCACCGCTCGCAGTGAGCATGGCCTGTGGTAAATCTTTTACAGCTATGGTTTTACTGTTCACAATCCCTTTAGCACAGTGGTCTACTTTGTGTGTGTAAATAAAAAGAAACAGAGGGAGAACTGAGGCTTGCAAGGTCCATTTGTGGGCCGTAACTCAAGTGAACAACAACACTCCACAGATGTCTCGCTTTCACTGATGGGAACAGAAAAAGGCTGCAGAAACCAGCCCGAGATGAAAAAAAAAAAAAAAGAAAAGAAAAGAGAAGAAAGCAAGAGTAACAAAAAGTTCATGTACCACACTGTCATATTAAAGTGTTTACTAAATAGGGAATGAATAAACCTCTCTTCTCTTACCTCTTTCAGGGACAGGTCACCAACATTTAAAAATTGGATGGGTTCAAGTCAGTTGTGCAAATGACATGCATGTTAAAAGGCTCAAACTATTGCATCATTTCTACATGTGAAGAAATGAGCAATTCTCAAGTGACACAAACAACCAAACCATTCACTATTTTTCAATAAGTACTAGGGCAGGAATGTGCACTTAATCAAGATCTAACGTGAAAACCACTACTGTATTTTTATCTTATGTGTGTATGCAGGCTGGCATCTATAGGACTGGTATGCAGAAGCAGGCTTGCTGGGCAGAAGACGTGTACCTGTGACTGAACAGCAGCAAGCAGCATGGTGCCTTTTACAAAGTTTAAGTGTAAATGTTCACTTCCACTGACAGTGTATGAAGATTCATTTACCTAAACCCTTCATCAATAGTGAATGCTACTTAGCTTCCTTTATCTTGTGTAACACGAAGAGTTTTGTTAGTATATGTAATTATCAAAAAACTCAAATAGCACTAGCGAATAGAGTATCAGGTGAAAGAAGTCTCTCTGTCTTATCCTCAGATCTCCTCACTTATAGTTGCTACTATTTACTTTTATTTTTGTCCTGAGGTAGTATTTGACACAGTCTATCTACATAAAATGCTATCCTTTCCAAAACAAGAGGAGTGTTTTATGTATAAAAATCTATCTCATCCTTTTTTTTAAGAGTTGCATTGTATTCCACCTCATATATACAGCATAACAAATTTAACCAATTTGCTATGGATGGACATTCAGATTTATTCCAATCTTTTACAGGCAAAGTGATGTTGAAGTTAATATTTTGTACTGAAGGCTTTGTGTACTGAATCCAAATACACAGGTGGGAAAACACCTAAATAAGGAACTACTGGGTCAAAAGGTAAGTGCATTTTTATTCTTGACACTTATTACCCACTAACAATTCTGGACCCACTGTATCCCACTGACAATGCATTTCTACATGCTTTTCCTAATAATTCACTGTCAAATATTTTTTATTAGCACTATCATTACAACAGGAGAAAAACAGTATCTCATTGGGACTTCATATTTTGTGAATTTTCTAGTCATTTCCTTATTACCAATCACTGAGATTTGTGCTAATCTTAAACATAATTTAAAAAATAAAAACACAAACTTGAGATATTATGACACGGTATTCTCTATTCTGAAATCTGATTCCCTACATCACTTCTAGGTAATTCCTAAAATTTTGGAGCACAGAAAAGACCCGAGGAAAACAAATCCCAATGAAAGTAAGGAACAAATCTCAGCACAAAGGCTCATCACTGCAGATAATAGGAATCAAAGTCAAAGAAGAGAAAGAAAATCATCAAAAAAATAATTATCTTTAGCATAAATAATCTGTGGGTATTTCTGAATGTTTCTCCATCTGAGTTTGTATCAAACAAGTGCTTAGACTATCATTCTCCATTCTGAAATTCCATCCTATGAACTTAACTAGACCTACCTGTAGTGCAGGTACACAATGGGGGCTGAGAAATCACTCCTCTCAACCCACTTAAGTTTGGGCAACACCCCAGGGCCAATTCTTCTTCCACTGTTCTAAAAGAGGTGGAAAAGAAAATAACAAAGACCCAGGAAATCTCTGAAGCTCTAGGCCAGAGCACATTCACGTTAGATCTCATGGCCTGACCTTCAATAACCCTTTTCCCTACTTGAATCTTATTAAAGGTTTGTAAGTATGGACTGTACTTTGTAACACGTGATTTAATCAGTGAATTCTGATCATATTTGTTGAGAGCTTCTGAGATAACTGAGCACTCTGACAATCATTCCTGTCACTTTTACCCCAGAGACCCAACGAGAGGCAACCAGGCTGGGTACACTTACTTAAAATCCAAAGGCCTGTCTGATTTTTTTACTTTCCTGTTGTCCTGGTACCACTTTTCTGTTCATACCACATTTTTTTGCCTTCATGGACTTGCCCTGAGCACATCTTCCCATGATTTTCAATAAGTGTAACTGCTTTTCATTTTCCATTGGATGTACATTTGCAATTCTTGGCTCATTATACACAAGAAACTGGAAACTATTGGCTGGATCCATCCCTGGTATCACCTGGATTCAAAACTGACTCATTCTGGGACACATGTTCTAATCAGCCAGGCTATTCCACACCCTGTAAATGTTTTCCCTAACTTTTGAAAATGGGAACTTCATTTTTCATTGCATCTAACTGGCCAGTTGTTTCTTCAGAATTATTAGAAATTTCCTGGGGAAAATTTATCATCCACACGATGGAACCTTTAAAGGTCTTATATTTCAATGTGGTTGCTAACATGTCACAGTGGAAACCTCAGCATCATTTGCATCTTTCTCTTATACTCATTTCCCCACTACATCTTTTCCTTTCTTTCCTTGAAATCTCTTTGCCCTTACTGTTTACTGCAACTATGCTGGTTTTGGTCTTCATTTTATAATGGTGTAAGTGCTTCAGATTTTAAACACATTTCCATCCCTGCTCTTTCATCATCCCATTATTCACCTTAAAATAAATCCATGTCACTCAAGAAACTGAGTGTTCCATAAATACTTGTAGAATAAGTGAAGCAACAAACATATAACAGGCCTTTAATCTCCAACACCCAGTCTGGGCTCCTCTGCCTGGGCTTTTAAGTCTTTCCATGATGCGGCTCCACTCAGCTTATGCAAACATTTCCCCACCATCTGTGGAAGCATAATTCACTCTGTCCTTGTTGCCTTTGTTTATGCCCTTTTCTCTGTGTAAAATTATGGATTCTCTTAGTGATATTCCACGTTCTACAGCTTCCTTTTATTCTGCTTCTCTCACTTTCTCAGCTTTCCTGGGGGACTTCCTCTAAATCTTGGTTTCAACAACCACCAACCTAACAACACATTAACCAGTCAGATCTCTCCGGAATTCCAAACTGGTCTACCCAATGTCTGGTTCTCTAACTAGGATCTCAAAATCAGCATATGCAAACCTGAACTTCTCTCCTCCTTCTCCTCCTTTTTTTTGTGGTAGTGGGGATTGAGCTAAGGGCCTTCACACTGAATTACCTCCTTAGTCCTTTTCCATCTATTTATTTAAATAAATACTTAGTTACCAAGTTGTCCATGCTGGGATGGAATTTATAATTCTTCTGCCTCAACCTCCCAGAGTGCTGGGATTATAGGTATGTGCCACCATGCCTGGTTATCTTTTTATATCTTGAATCAAGCAGCAATCCAAGTCATAAAAGGTCATCCTTGACTCTTTCCTTAATCTCACATCCACCTCACACCAATTTCAACTCCATTCTCTTTCCTATGTCAATCAATCCCTTTCTATCTTCACTTACATGGCATATTCCCATCCACGTTATCTCTAATTTTCACCAGTTTTCCAGCTGGTCAATTTGTCTTTACACTTTTATCCCAAGAAACCATCCTTTATACCACTGCTGAAAATTAAAATTGAATTATATCTCAAATGAGGATAATTTCCACAGGATTTATTTACAATGAGACTACTCATAATCGTTTGGGTGGGCTGCTGGGGAACCCCAGAGATTATCTGGGGCTAAAATCAAAGAACACGTCACCACAACTGGCCTGAAGGAAAAAGGGGAGGAGTTTATTACTGGAAGGGGAAAATTGTGTAAATGCCATGACTGTGAGAAGGGCGGATGCAGCTTGCCCTGGGTAATCTTCCAAAGGAGGAAGCCAACTGAGCACAAAGACCCTGACCTCACTCTCCTGTCTACCTTCTGCTGGGACTATCTAGAGTCATCTACTGTAGGTCATGCTGCTTCTCATACTGAATTCACCATATGGGATACCTTTCCTCTATGCCAAGGCTTGCCCAATTTATCTTCCAAATTCAATTCACTTATCATCTACTCTATTTAAAACATCTTATGCCAGGTGTACAATTGACCACACTGTTCTCAGTGATCTCATTCTCTCATCTATAGATTTTTATCCCAGTGTGTATAATATTTTATTGTCCTTACTGTCTTTGCCAACTAAACAGAAAACTCTCTAAAGAGGGTAGAGAATATGTCAGTCACCTTTTTGTTCTTAGTTCCCAACTTTGGATAAGACACATAGTAGGTACTCAATAAATAACAGGTCAATCAAAGAATGAATTTAAGCATCAGCTCAGGTCCAAAATCATCCATGAAGTGTTCCCTGTAAACTTCAGCCCATGCTGATTTTCATTCACATTAGCAAAATTTAATGTTTAATTTTTCTCTACTGTTTCACCTGCTTTGGCATTACTTCTTTAGATCACAGTGCTCTGACAGTGTGCATCATGTCTTCTACTCCTCTGAAAGTAGAGTATAAGTCGACCAGGAACTTAATAAATGCTTTCTTTAAAGAATCAGCATTTGGAGGCTAAGAAATGTTTGTAGTTTTGGAGCTTCAAGTTCAAATATTCACAGGATCAGAAAAGTCTTTGAAATTGATAAAACCTATAAAAGGTAGATATGGTGACCTCCTAGCTCTAGCACCTGCTGATCCCCAGAAGCAGAAAATTCAGATTTTTAGGTAAATACATGTATGCGTGTGTTGCTGGGCATGAAACTTGGGGCCTCACACATGCCAGGCAAGTGTTCTACCACTGAGCTGTACTCCTAACCCCTACATCCAAGTCTTAACATTTGGTTCAAATAAAAAATCCAATCTAGCCCAAAGGACCTCTTTGCATTTCCAGAAGTAGGGTTCAGATGTGGTTTGACCAAGGGCTTATCACGTCACTGACACAGCTGATGTCTACACTCTAGGAACATTTCCTGTTCCTTAATTTGAAACCATAGACCAGAAGTGGATGACTTGTTTATAGCTTTTCTCATAAGCACTGTAAGTAAGTCTTAAGACCTACACTGTTGGTGTATGCATATCCAAGCTCCTTCTATTCCTTGCTTGCCAAATGTATTCAATTTTTAAAAATGGTAAGAGAAGATGATGCATCCTGACTGACTCTGAAAGCCAAAATGTGTGGAATGACAGAACTGACAATCAGAAGAGCAAATCACAGACCAAATGACCAGATTCTCAAGAGACTCCATTCTATCTGGAAAGACAAAATAGATTAAGAGTGAGCTTGATGCTCTAGACTAGAGTCATGTCAGTTAGCCTGTTTCTTCAGTTAGCCTGTTTTCTCACACACATTTCCCCATGCAACAATCCATGGAGATGGGTGGGGAATATTAGAGATTTTATTGGCAAGGAAACTGAAACCCACAGGGATTAACGAATTTGCCTTGGTGAGAGCAAGCCAATGGCGAATTCAGGATTGTAACTCATGTTCTGACCCAAATCCACCCTTACTATGCTGCTTCAAAACACCACCACCACCTCCCAGGATGAGATCATCAGAACAAGGTGCTGGTTATGCTTTGCCTATTCTGGAAGAATGTCAAGAAGTCAGTAGGGTGAAGGGTCACTTATTATTTGTATATAAAATGGATTCTTCTTTGATAGAATTTGAAGGTCTATTCAGATTGTCTCATTTAATCCCTGGAGTGGATCCTGGGAATTGGTTAAATAATAAAGCATACTTTCATTTAAGTATGACATAGAATGATTGAAGCATAGGAAGTCCATGGTGTCACTGGGATTCACCCCACTCTGTGTAATCAGAGCCCAGACACCCTTTTATGATGTCTGGCACTGTAGCTGGTGGACAGGAGGAAGCAGCTGCTTCTATTAAGGACCAAAAACCAACATTAAAAAGAAAAAAAAAATCAACATGCAAATATATAAAAAGCAATTTTATTTGAGACAGATTCTTTTCAGAGAATATAAATTAATTTACATAAAAATTTAAGAGCATCAAAAATAAAACTTTTAATTTTTACTTGTTGAATTTTAAGTTGTATCTAATGAAAACTGAAGGGGAAAACAAAAAATGAATAGAATATAGGGAGCAAGATAGAGAACATGGGGACAGAGGAAGATGTGGAAACAGACACATCAAAAAAAGTAAATACAACACAGAAATTGACACAAGAAAAAGATATTATACACAGTCAGATACAATTTCAACCCAGACAAAGGAAAAGAATACCCTCCAATGCAGACAGACAAAATATGGGCATGCACAACACAGACCGGCTGTAAAACTACACTGTCATTTTACAATGACAGGCAGAAACGAAGGTATGCTGTGTAGAATCAAAGTTGAAGTCTAAGAGTTTTTGAAACGATGGTTCTTATGATATATGCCTCTCTCTTGCCATGCCTTACAGAAGCATTTAAAAAGGAAAAAGAAAGCCAAAGTGCAGGTCCAAAGAGTGGGGAGGGTGAGCCCACACTCAAGGATTTTTGCATTCCACCATTATTTCTCTATTGAAACATGATCCTGTTCTTGGCTTTTTATTCACTCCCTTTTCCACAGCCTAACAGTAAACTCCCACACACCAGTGGGACCACAGAGGAGAGACAATAATACAAGCAGCTGCTCAAGCTGTGGTTTTCATTAGGGAAAAAAAGTGCCTTGATTATAAGAGATTTAGTTTTTAACCTCTGTGCCAAAACTGAAGTGATTAAAACTCCATGTAAAGAAATGCTAAAGGTTCCTTTAAAGTATGGGCAGAGCAGACAGTGAATTGTCAAAGGGGCAGAGGGGTGGAAGAATAGTCCAACCCTGGCTTA